TGCCGCCAATGCTGACCTGTCCTTTCAGGGGGTTCAACTCCTTCTCGCAGTACGACTACAACGTCATCTGGAGGTGAATCGCCAACTTCCCCGTTGCTTTATTCTGTACACGGTGCGGCTCACACAGGATGGTTTTCCCCACTTGTCGTCTTGGTCATGGCGCAGATATGCGCGGACATTAGTTCCGATCGTCATCAGATGTTGTGCTCGACCAGGGCGCACATACCAATAGCGCCGCCGTCCGCCCAGCAGGGCTGCACTGCCCTCATCAAGCTTGTCGCCGCCATCGTCAGAGCCTTTGCCTAGAAAGGGACATGTGTCTCTATTACGATACAACCGCTGCACCCCCTGTTCGCGTGAGACTTCTCCAAATGGCCATTCGCTACAACACGAACGTCGCTGATGTTACAGGCTAAGCTATCGGCCAGTACTACCTGCCGGAACGGAGGTATCTTCTCCAGCGTCCAACACCGAAGTTGGGAATGTCGTCGGCGAACACCATCACGTCGCATGCTCCCAAATTGCTGCCGCTGTAGATCTCGGGGCCGAATCCACACAGGCGCTGGATGCCGCGCGCCAAGTTGAGCCAAGAAGAACATTATGCATCCAGTACGTCAGAGTACATGAAGTCGCCGAGTGGCCTCTCCTCGTCCATGTCCGCCCCCAGTTCCACGCAATTTTCAACCGCGATACGAACCTCCACCCTGCTCCCCGCTCCTTCCTCGTCCGCCCTCGCCCTTCTCATTCAGCCTTCCCTCTTCCTCCCTCTTCCTCCTCCTCCTTCCTCCTCCTCCTCACCACCCCTCCTCTCTCTTCCCTTCCCTCCCTCCGCTCTCCCGTTTCTGCGAGCAGCTCCGTGCACGTGGATCCGTGGGGCCCGCAGACGGCCATGGGGCTCCGCGGGTGCCAGCTGGGTCGATCCGATTCTCTCTCCTCCCTCCTCCAGTGTGCACAGCTACACTTTCTAACTGGGGGGGGGGTCTTGGTCCGCTATAACACCTGGAGGAGGAGGGGGAGAAGAAGGAGGAGGAGAAGAAGGAGGTGGAAGTGGAGGTGGAGGAAGAGGAAGAGGAAGAGGATGAAGAGGAGGACGAGGAGGATGTTGAAGATGCGGAGTTGCATGATGACGATGATGCTGATGATTATGAGTATGCTGATGCCGATGATGATGACGATGACGATGACGATGACGATGATACTGAGGATGCTGAGGAGGACATGGAGATGATGATGAAGCAGATTATGCTGATGCTGATGACCATGATGCTGATGCTGATGCTGCTGCTGCTGATGCTTATGATGATGCTGACGATGACGATGCTGATATTGATGATGATTATGATGATGATGATGCTGATGATGATGATGATGTCGATGATGATGTTGAGATGATGACGTTGATGACGGTGATGATGATAACGAAAAAGATGATGACGAACGTGATGATGAACATGATGACGATGATGATGATTAGGCTGATGCTGCTGATGATGCTGGTGATGATGCTGATGCTGATACTGATGATGATGATGATGATGGTGGTGGTGGTGGTGGTGGTGATGATGATGATGATGATGATGGTCTTGAGGAGGATGAGGAGGAGGAGGATGAGGAGGAGGAGGAGGAGGAGGAGCAACACAGCGGGAGAAGGGAGCGGAGAGCGAGAGGGACTAGCTAGGAGGGATGAGGAGGATGGAGAAGGGGAGGATGATCACGAGGAGAAGGAGCGGAAGTTGTGTTCGCTCAGCAGCCTAAATCGATTGATTATTGGGCCGGCGTGGTCGACATCGGCGATGCGTTTGATGTGGTTCAGCCGATGGACTGGTGCGGCTCGGTTGCATTGTTCGTCCGCAGTCACAGGCTTGCATCTATGAGAAATCGTGCTTCTCTTCTGAGGGAGTGGATGTCTCAGGACCCTGGGTAAAAGAATGGGCTTGTCGACCCCCCTCAAGATATCCGTCAGTCTTTCTTTTCGCCTGGTGTGCTATCCTCGAGACGGGCTGTAGTGTCTCAAGGATTCCAGCCCACCTCTTCGCAGCTGGTCTGAGCTTCTTATTAAGTGCGGTGTGCTGCCTGGGGTGGGGTGCCTTTTTCGCTGGGGGCTGGGCAGTGCGGTCAGGAACGTATGCTTAGCGTGTGGCGCTGCCGATTCTAGCCCACCATGGTTCGGCGCGACACGCCTTGCGCGCCCAGCCTCCTGCCCCGTGGAGCGGCGGAGCGGAGCGACACGCTATCCGCTTGCAGGGCACAGCGTGTCGCCCGGGCCGCCGCCGGGACAGGCGAAGCAACAGTTCCTCACCGGATGTATGGGGTGTGGGGTGTGCTGCTTGGAGTGGGGCTTGTTTTTCGTCGGGGTGGCGGGTGGGCGTTGGGGTCGAGGTATGGTTGAAGTCGAGATGGGCGGAGTGTTTCTTTTTCGTCAGCATAGGCGCAACATCATTAATCACATTTCGGCTGCAGCGGCGCTCATCAAGTTAGCTCTCCCTGGGCTTCTTCGTCCTTGACAGTGTAGGTCTTCTTGTGATTCGCATCGAGACATTTGTGTTCGCAGCTTTTCGCATTCCTAAGTCTCATCCGCATACTTATTCAACCTCTCGCTCTCCACTCTCTTATCAGCCTGCGCCTTTCATGTACCATCCTCTCTCTCGTGCCAGCGGAAACTTTCATTCCGAGATTTCACTCTCGAATGAGCTGTACTCCTGTCTGTGACATCAGAAGAAAGCTCCTCCCCCTCTTCCAACCCTGCAGCTTCGGCATTGGCTGCGGGTTGCTCGTGGGCGTTCTGCTCTTCGAAGTGTTCCACAAGAAGACCGCAGAGTTCGACCTCTCGGTGGGGTCGGCAAGCGCAGCTGGGAGACAGCAGGGAGCGGGAGGGCGGCCATGCAATGATGATGATGCTGAGGAGGCTCATGAGGAGGAGGCGATGGAGGGAGGATAATGAGAGAGGAGGTGGTGGAAGTTGATGATGAGCAGGAGGAGGAGGAGGAGGAGGAGGACGAGGAAAGGTGGAAACCCAATACTCATCAACGATGTTGGAATGCACCCTCCCTCCAAGGTCCCTCCTCATAGGCCCCTACAAGGGATCATGTCCACTGTGGGAGCTACGCTTCTTTGGAAGACAACCGTTTGTAGACCCTGAAGCGTGGTCAAACACCATTCTCGGGACTCCAATGCCACGAATCAACATGACTGCTGCATCTTGGCGATCTGGAATCGTGCCCGAAGAGAATTCCTGGGACTTCAACACCGTGAATGAACTTCTCTGCTGCGCCCTCACAATCCAGAGTCCTTACAACACATGATTTCTGGCACGTTGACCATGGGAATCCGTGAATCTCTTGCACACGTTAAAAAGAATGGGCGCGGCTCTTGGACACGTTAAAAAGAATGCGTGAAGCTCTTAGTTTTTAATGCGAATGTGCGTGGCCCTAAGGCGACACATTCTGAAAACGACCTTCGTTCAATCAGTGAAGCTTTAGCGCAGTTTTAAAGCAAGCGTGCGCGGCCTCAACGCGGGAGCCACATTTTGGAAACAACCTTCCCTCGATCCATGAAGCTCTCGCATCTTCAAAAAAGAATATGCACCGCGCTCAGGCGAGAGCCGCATTTTTCAAACGGCCCGCCCTCAACACAGGAAGGCCTTGCGTTTTTCGAAACGAATGTGTAAGGTGCTAAGGCGAGAGCCACATGTTGGAAGTGACCCCCCCTCCATCCCCTGTGAAACTGTTATCAGCCTTTACGCTTCAGGGTTATAAGCGGTGAGGGAGTCTCAGGCGAAACGCCCGGCACGCCCCTTCGACTGGCCTCGGGGTGGGACAGGGAGGAGTTATTTGTAAGTAAAAGGAACGGAGGAGGAGGAAGACGAAGAGGGAGCTGAAGGACACACGCACATCTATTTACACACATATATTCATATGTATATATATATATAGAGAGAGAGAGAGAGAGAGAGAGAGAGAGAGAGAGATCGAGAGAAAGAGAGAGATAGAGAGAGAGAGAGATAGCGAGAGAGCGAGAGAGGGCTACATGCATACATCTATATGTATGCATATACTTATATATATATATAATATAGATAGAGAGGGAGAGAGACATATCGAGAGAGATACACACATATATATAATCATATCTCTACATATCTGTGTATATGTATGGGTATATATATTCATGTGCATATTGGAAGTTATATGTGTATATATATGGAAACATGCATGGCCTCGTACAACAAAGTAGGGCTGGCGATATCTCTATAGAAACGGGCAACATTGTCACTGGCATTGCTTGGTATCTTCTTTTCCAGGCCGCGGTTCTTTACACGAGTTTGCCTATTGCAGGTCGGCTTGTGTGGCGTTCTGGGTTTGCTTGGCGACTGTCTTATTCGTAATGTGCACACTGCCGATGCGGGCGGATCGGCTCCGACTGTTAACCTGAATTGCCGCCTGTCCGATATCAGATAAAACAATCACTATGTGGGTAGACAGAGAGAGAGAGAGAGAGAGAGAGAGAGAGAGAGAGAGAGAGCGAGAGAGAGAGAGAGAGATAGAGAAAAACAATTACTCCGACGGAAGAACCCCACATAAGAATCCTCTGGGCGAATCTGGAAAAAGCCATCACCGTCGTCCTCGTGGTTGGTGAGGCGTCCTGGCTGTCTCTTCTGCGTATATTTCCTCTCGCCTTGGCGCGGGCCCCCTTCCACTCCTTACGTTGTCCCCATCCTCGCCCCCCTGTCTGTTCCGCGCCCCGCCACCTCCTCCCCTTCCTGTTGCATGAGCGCGCATGTCGATGTTCCTCGGCGCCGTCGCCGCCACGGCCAGCACAGGCGCGTTCTCTACAGGTCACGTCGCGCAGCCGTTGGGACAACCCCGCGGGCCAGGCTGTCGGGACAACCCTGCGAGCCGTTGGCGCGCAAGACCAAGCCGTTGGGACAACCCCGCGGGCTTCGAGCGAGGCGCAGCCGCGCTCAGGCGGAAGGCAGCACGAAGCCCAGCTCTGCCGCGAGCTGCTTCGCCTCCGCCCTGGACAAAACCGTTCTCTTGTCAAACTCCAGGAGCGCCTTCCGCAGGGACGCCGGCGGCCCGCACTCCAGGAACTCTCGCGGCGGCGGCCGCAGGATCAGCATGTTCCGCATGAACGTGGCGCGGGAGAACATGACGTAGAGGTGCAGCCACCACTGCTCGTCCGACATGCCCGTGCGGCCAGCGTCCTCGTCTCTCGCGCAGTCGATGGTGACGCCCTTGCGCAGCGTCTGGCCCTGCGACAGCGTGGAGGTCAGGTAGGACGCGTGCGTCAGGGTGAACCCCGAGCTGCGCACGCTGTGCGCCCCGAGCTCTGCCATGTGAGATCCCTTTCGCTGGGCCTGAACATCAGCAAGCTCCGCGCCCGCGCCTCGGCCTGGCCGTCGTCGTCGGCGCCTTCGGCGCCCTGTCGCAGCACCTCGGCGACCTGAGGAGCCCAAGAACTTCCTCGTTGCTTCCAAAATGTGGCCTGGGAGCTGCGTTCTGGCAGCGCGAGAACCCAAAATTGACGACAGTTACAGGTTTTGGATGACCCGTTCGGATTACCAACATGATCTGCGGGCCCCATAGGGAGGGGGCTCCCGCCTGAGACTTCCTCGCAGTTCACTCAAAGACGAGGCTCCCGCCTGAGACTTCCTCCATATTCAGGCTTGAGGAGCCCAAAAGTGACGACAGTTACAGGGTTCCGATGACCCGCTCGGATTACCAACATGATCTGCGGGCCCCATAGGGAGGGGGCTCCCGCCTGAGACTTCGTCACAATTCACTCACAGACGAGGCTCCCGCCAGAGACTTCCTCCATTTTCAGGCCTGGGGAGCTCAAAAGTGACGACAGTTACAGGATTCCGATGACCCGCTCGGATTACCAACATGATCTGCGGGCCCCATAGGGAGGGGGCTCCCGCCTGAGACTTCCTCACAATTTACTCACCGACGAGGCTCCCGCCTGAGACTTCCTCCAAATTCAGGCTTGAGGAGCCCAAAAGCGGGACGACAGTTTACAGGGTTCGAATGACCCGCTCGGATTACCAACATGATCTGCGGGCCCATAGGGAGGGGGCTCCCGCCTGAGACTTCCTCGCAGTTCACTCACAGACGAGGCTCCCGCCTGAGACTTCCTCCATATTCAGGCTTGAGGAGCCCAAAAGTGACGACAGTTACAGGGTTCCGATGACCCGCTCGGATTACCAACATGATCTGCGGGCCCCATAGGGAGGGGGCTCCCGCTTGAGCCTTCCTCAGAATTCACTCACAGACGAGGCTCCCGCCTGAGACTTCCTCCATATTCAGGCTTGAGGAGCCCAAAAGTGACGACAGTTACAGGGTTCCGATGACCCGCTCGGATTACCAACATAATCTGCGGGCCCCATAGGGAGGGAGCTCCCGCTTGAGACTTCCTCCCAATTCACTCACAGACGAGGCTCCCGCCTGAGACTTCCTCCATGTTCAGGCCTGGGGAGCCCAAAAGTGACGACAGTTACAGGGTTCCGATGACCCGCTCGGATTACCAACATGATCTGCGGGCCCCATAGGGAGGGGGCTCCCGCCTGAGACTTCCTCACACTTTACTCAACGATGATGAGGATGAGGATGATGAGTGGTGGTGAAGATGAGTGGTGAAGAGGATGATGATTGATTGTGGGTGGTGGTGGCGATGATGATGTTTGAATGAGGATGATGCCGATACCGATGATGACGATGATGTTCGTGAGCGTGTGAGAGAGTGCGAGTGATGATGATGTGTGTGTGAATGAGTGCGAGGAGAAGAGGGGGTGAGTGAGATCTCTCTCCTGCGCGGGGGTGTGCAGAGAAAACAAGAACCCCACTTTGGATGTGGGGAATGAGAGAGAGAGAGAGAGAGAGAGAGAGAGAGAGAGAGAGAGAGAGAGAGAGAGGGAGAGAGAGAGAGAGAGAGAGAGAGAGAGAGAGAGCGATAGAGAGAGAAAGGTAGAGAGAAGGTGGAGGAGGAGGAGGATGAGGGATAGGAGTAGACGGATTATGAGGAGGAGGAGGAGAAATCCAGGGAGGGGGAGGGGGAGGAGGAGGAGGAGGAGGAGGAGGAGGAGGAGGACATGGAGGACAAGGAGGACCAGGCGGGAGGATCTGGAGGAGAAGGAGGAGGAGGAGGAGGTGCCCTTTGTTGAGGCACCCATGCCAGCAGGCGACGGGCGGCTACTCGGGGATGCGGAGAAGAGAGAAGAGGCGATGCCGTCGACAATGGTATGGCATAGTCAAGTTAGCCAGCTCGAACGAGCCAGAGGGCTCCGTCCACTCCCACCCGCCCTCCCACAACATAAGAAGCAAGTGCGTCACGTCCGACGCCTGTCGCTCATCTTATATCGTGGGCGGCTAGACGTTCAGCGCGCGACATGAGCTGCGTCCTATTCCTGCCGCGTATTGAGCAACGTCGACGAGAAACAGGGACGCGCGCGATGTACGCCGCTCCCCGCTCCGGCCTCTCATGTTGCATCGTCGCTGACAACATGTCCAGCGCGCGAAATGCGCCGCGTCTCATTCCAGCCGCGCGCGTTGCACCGCCAATCGTTTCCTTCCTGCCGCGCGTGGAGGATGGGGAGGATGATGAGGAGGAGGAAGAGGGAAGGGAGACAGGTTTCCCTTATGTGGACACGACAACGGGCGCGCCGGCGGCGAACCGCACGTGCTCGAAGCATTCTGACTTGCCGCCCGCCCAGCTCCTCAACCCGACGGGCCGCAGCGTCGACGACAAGAAAGCCCATGTTGACGAGCAGGCGTCCCCGCGCGATGTGCGCCGCGTCCCATTCCCGCTGCGCGATTCGCATAGCCGACGAGGAGAAACTACATGTTGGCAAGAAACACTTTGACGTTGCGGTGTTTTTTGCCAGGTAGGAGGGGGGTCCCGCGTAGTTTTCGCCAGGCGTCCGCGCGCGATGTGCGCCGCGTCCCATTCCTCCTACACTTTTCGCAGCGTCGACGACAAGAAAGTCCAGGCTGTCGAAACACAACATTGACTTCGGAATTTTTTTGCAGGTAGGACGCGACCACCCACTTAGGGTCCCTAAGCGATTATCATTCCGTCCCATTACTGCTTCACTTTTCGCAACTCGACGACATGTTGGCGAGAAAAAAGAGATTGAGTTGTTTTTTGTCAGTTAGGACGGCGGGGTTGCTACCGGCCGGCTAGGTGGGGGTTTGGGGGTGTTTAATCATAAGAAGTAAGGGTATGGGTTGGCCCTAAAAACGATGTTCAATCTCGATCAAAATTCGAGTTCTGACTCGCGATCGGTCTCATGGTAGTCGTCGCTCGCTGAACGCTCGAGGTCCTGGCACCCGAGCTCGTAGACCGCGGGGAGGTTGCTCTTCCACAGCCCGAACGCACGCAGCACCTGGGTACGAGGATAAAAAAGGGAGGACGGTGGGAAGGGAGGAGGAGGAGGACCACAATAAACCCAGAATGAGTCAACAACGCTGCAATACACCATCCCGTCCAAAAACCACGTCATCACGAGGTGCTACAGGGATCTGTTTTCTACAGGGTGCGCCCCCTTCAAGAATGAGCGCGCAATGGGCCTTTCATTTCGTCCATAACCCCTTTTCGAAACGGACGCTTCCCGCATCCGTGTAGCCTTATGGAATTGAAAGATGTAGGACAATAAGATTGAAGGAGGCGTCCAGCGATATCTCCATCAAAAATCCACTCTCTATCCGTGGAGCTGTTGCACACTGGGTTTCTGGTCGACAGAAGTGAGGCATTCTTGAGCAGTATCCCGGTTGAGAAAATCACCCGCCATCTGCTCTGGTATAGCTACTACAAGGTTGAACATCATTTTCTCGAAGGCATGCAGGAAGTTTCGCGCGAGAGTCCGGTTTTCGAAAAACACCGCTCTCCATCCTGGTAGCAGTCGGGAGCTTCAGCCCCGGACGAGCGCAGCGCTACGGGAAGGGCCACTTTTGAAAACGCGCCGACCTTCATCCGCGCAGTGGCCCGAAACTTGCCAGACGAGTGTACGCTGCGCACCGCGGAAGCGAGAGCCACGCCTGGAACACCGCTCGCCCCCAGTCCTCACACGGTGGGTTCGCGTCGCGTCGACCGGCGGCGGCCCCGCCGTCGGCGTGCCACCTTGAGCGCCGCCAGCGACCCAGAATCGCTCGATACGGAACGAGCTGACGTTTCGGAAGCAGCCGACCGTTCCAGGTTGGGCGATCCCCGCGGTGTCAGAGACCAACGCCGAGGTCGTCAAGGCACGAACCTGCCGTAACTGTGGGCAGCTCTTCGTGGGGATGTGCGAGCGTCACGCATCGAGAGAACTGGCCGCCCCTCCTTATCAACGTAACCGTTTGGTACTCTGGGCTGCGGGGTCATACACGGTGACGAACATCAAGCGACTCGCCCGGCCCGCACTCTCGAAGCGACTTCTGATGCGAAGAATGCGAGTCATTGATTGACAAGGGAGAGAGATGGATGAGAAGCGGGGGCCAGGGAGGAGGGGAGGGATATCGGGGCCATCTTGGGGGATGGCACCACGAGATGTCGGGCGATCCCGCCCGTTAGGGCCCATCGCGCCCGTTCGCCCGACCCGCCCGGCAGGGTCCCTCCCCGTCCGAGCCGCCTGTATGGTCCGCCCCCCGCCCGACCCTCAGGAGGGGTAAAAAAACACAGAGGCGCAATTAATCGTCGGTTCTTTAGGAAATATGGGACGATATGGGCAGTAGGGAGGAAGACGAAGATCCAAAAATACGGAAGATACGGGGGGATCCTGGGATTTGTGTATATTTGTTTGTGTGTCCCTGGGCCCCTTCATACCCGCCCGTCAGGGCCCGCCCCCCGCCTGGCCTGCCCGTCAGAGTCCAGCCGCTCGCGCTCTTGGAAGCCCGCTTGCGTTGCTGCCCCGCCCGCTCGGCTGGCCTTTTTCGTTGGGCCCAGCCTGCCCGTCAAGCTTGCCCAGCTCATTGCTCCTCTCCCCTGCCACTTCTGCCGGATCTTCTTCGCCCTCATTCCTCTTCCCTTCCCTTTGGCTCCCTTCCCTTCCCGTTTCCTCCTCTTTCCCTCGCTCTCTCCATTCTCCTTTTCCGTCTTCCTCCTCCTCCTCCTTTTTCAGGGGCCGCGTCAACTACCCGTGGCAGGCAAGGAAGATGCACCCCAAGGGGTACGATCGAAGACGGAGAGGGCTGGCATGGAGGGTCTAAGGTACCTACATGTTGAGTGACACGCGGGCAACGAAGAGTGGACAGTCTTACAGTGATTGTTGCAGTTGTTGCTCCCTTGTTGCAGTTGTCATGCTATTGGTTTGCTTGTGTGTGCGTGTATGTGTGTGTTTTGTGTGTGTCAGTGCTTGCATTTGGTCTTTCGTGCTAAGTAAAGCAAGTGTGCTGCGTCAGGCTATGGTGACGTTGGGATAAGAAAGGTGCAGATCGGGAGGAGGGACAAGAAATGGCCTGGCCGTGGGGAGAAGAATGGCCCGCCGTCGCGACACACATCACGATGGGAGGTCTGTGGTAATTTTCGGTCTCCGGGGGCCCTCACTGGGCCCCGGGGTGTTGGATTTCGTGCAAGCATCACGAGGGTTGCACTCCCGATTCGCACACATGCAGAGCGAGTCGTCACCTGCACTGATCTACAATGCGCTCTGACACGTATTGGCGGAAGGCGCATTAGAAGCCGAGCGATCTTGTGAGTGTTCTTGTGGGCGGTGCAAGGCTCCCTTCCCGACGCTGGACAGCGTGGAGAACGAGCTAGGACATCTCTCCCGTTTCTGATGCGCGAGCCCTTTGCAGTCCTTCTCCGCGCCCGCCTTTCGAGGCGGAGCCCAGGGCCTCTTGGCTGAGGGACCCCACTCTCGGATTCCGTGGAGCTCACTGGCTGACCTACACGCTGGTCGTTGCAAGTCGGTATTTCTGGACTCCCAGATCCCAATCTACTTCAAGCGCCGTCCTACTTCATGAGTCGATATGCTTTGCTGTGTTTTGTTATTCTCTGGGAGGGCCCAATTTACGTTTTTACCTAACAGCGTAGACTGATAGGTTTCTAATGGGCTAAAAAGAGAGCAGCACATTACTCCACAGGGGGGTCTGGGCAGCCGTTGGGGAGCGTTGGGGGGCCGTTGGGGTTTGCCGGGGGGGATCGTTTTTCGCATACAGTCACACACTTCGTGCTCTTCGACCTCCCAGAACTCCATTCCCGGGCCACATTCTGAATGCCCGGAGCCAACTGTAGGCCACTTCGTGCTCTTCGACTTCCCAGAACTCCATTCCCGGGCCACATTTTGAATGCCCGGAGCCAACTGTAGGCCACTTCGTGCTCTTCGACTTCCCAGAACTCCATTCCCGGGCCACATTTTGAATGCCCGGAGCCAACTGTAGGCCACTTCGTGGTCTTGAAGTTCCCAGAACTCCATTCCCGGGCCACATTTTGAATGCAGGCTGATGCTGAGGCAGGCTGAGGCTGAGGCTGAGGCAGGCTGATGCTGAGGCTGAGGCTGAGGCTGAGGCTGAGGCTGAGGCTGAGGCTGAGGCCGAGGCTGAAGGCAGACTGAGGCTGAGGCTGAAGCAGGCTGAGGCTGAGGCTGAGGCAGGCTGAGGCTGAGGCTGAGGCAGGCTGATGCTGAGGCAGGCTGAGGCTGAGGCTGAGGCTGAAGCCGAGGCGACGGCAGGCTGAGGCTGAGGCCGAGGCTGAAGGCAGACTGATGCTGAGGCTGAAGCAGGCTGAGGCTGAGGCTGAGGCAGGCTGAGGCTGAGGCAGGCTGAGGCTGAGGCTGAGGCAGGCTGAGGCTGAGGCTGTGACTGCGACTGCCGTTGCCACTGCGACTGTCATCGCGAATGCGACTACGACTGCGAGAACAGCAGAATTCTACAACTGGATTCTCATCTGAATCTTAAGGGGAATGCTTCCAGATATGCTCCTACACATCGCTGTTAGGTTGCTTTGCCGGGATAATTTGGTTCAACAAATAATCATGCTTTTACCTATTTCTTCCGGCGGACGTGTAACATGGCATGCCTCTTCTTTGCAGTTCGTAGCTCGCCTGGCCTTTGGGTGTGCCCCGTCTGCCGCTGCCGAATCTCGTGACGTGTTTCCGATTGGATTGTTGAAGCCGTTGCCAAGGCAAGCTTCCATGGTGCTCCACCTTGGCCGCCCCTGCTGCTTGTGCATTATCTAGCCTGGCCCTTCCCTGCGAGTCCCCTCTGGGAAGCAGATCTTGATGCACCTCTCCGTGGAGTCGGGGGGTTGTGAGCCGAGTGCGGTGCACTGGTGATGGCAAACGTGGACGGTGAGGAGGAGGACGAGGAGGAGGAACATAAGGCGGAGCAGAGAAGAAGGGAAGGGTATGATGATGTTGATGATGATGGTGAGGAGGATCAAACACGTAGCAGTAGAAGTATTAGGAGGAGGAGGAGGAGGAGTAGAAGGAGGAGGAGGAGGAGGAGGAGGAGGAGGAAGGGCATGTGCCGTAGCAAAGTGGTGTTGCCGTGATGCTGCAGATTGGAGATGCCCATCGTGCGGCAGCGCGGTGACTGGCTTTTGCCCAGCGGTGCCGGGGTTCCGACAGGAGGCAGCAGAACCGCTCAGAAGGTCGTATGTAGGGCACGAACGAGTCTGTGGAGTAGAATCAGGAGGGGAAAAACACACACAGACACACTTACTCATCGATTCCCAGGACAAATATTGAAAAATATGGGAAGTGGGGGGGAAGACAAAAACCTAGCAAATATGAGAAAATATGGGCAATCCTGTTATTTGTGTCTATTTATTTGTGTGTCCCAGGGCCCCTTCATAGAAGGACGGGCAGGATGGAGATCAGGGGCGGGAGAAGGAGGAGGAGGAGGAGGAGGAGCAGGAGGACGTGGGCGAGGGGATTGCGATCTCTGCCCGGAACAAATATCTGGCAGACCGAGCTGCAGTGGGGCCTCTGCAGGGTGCCGCGAAGCTGTGGTACGTCTACGTCGCGGAGGGCAGGGTCGACAGGGGGGAGGGCGTGCTGCAGTCCAGCGCAGCTGAATTTGTGCGTGAGCATCGAGAGCCGCCCCCCGTTCGCCCCAGCCCGGTGTCTGCTCGGCAGGCTCCAATGCAGCTGGCTCGGTCTCTTGATTCTGGCAGGTGCACGGGCCGGCCCGCGCGAAGCCCGCCCATCGTTCGCACAAGATTGGGCCCGCAGTCTGGCATAGGTTTCTTCGGTGCACCGTCTTTCGGTCCCCTCCTTGGCTGCACCAGGAAACAGGGCCCTACAAGCCTCGTCAAAAGAATACATCGAAGCGCCGTTCAGCATCGGAGCGCCCGATGGTTCGGGCACTGGTCAGGAAGCGCGTTCCCTTCACTGCTGCGAGGGCACTGCCGAATTTCGGACACCCCTGCGTGTGGGCCAAACGCCTCAGGCCAGCATTGAGGTAGCCGCCGACCGCGCAGGCGCCGAACGCACACCGTCAACTCATGCTCGACGGTCCCGGCTCGGGGTGAGTTCCTCTGGACCTCCCGCGAGCGCAGCGGCCGAACGGCACCCCTGGCCAGCGGGGGAGGCCCGGCCCTTCTCTGCCAGACCTGCCCTGCCGAAGCCCGACGCTTTCCCGTCCCGACGCTCTCGGATGCCCGCGCTGGGCTGCGCGGCCTGCTGGCACCGCTGTCGGCTCCCGGCTGCGAGCCCTGCTGTCCGCGGGAGCTCCCCGCAGGAGCCGAGAGCGCGGGGGCTCCGAGGCCCGAGCTCCTCTGCCGCGAGCACGCCGGCCCTGCTCGGGCCTTCCGCGCGACCGCGCGGCCTGACTCCTCGTTTCTCCCCGCCCTCGTCAGGCTTGGAGCTGCCCTGGGGGTCGGCCCAGCACGGGCTCCGGCGAGCAGGAGTGGGGGCGAGGTTCGAGGCTTTGGGTCCGAGCAGCTCCTTTTGCCCCTTTCGGGCTCCGGGGGCTGTTTTCGGGCCCCGGGACTGTCGCAAACGGGTCTGTTGTGAAAAATACACCAGGTGTATCTCGGGAGGGGTCTGGGGACCGACTTGGGGCGGATTTGCCCTGATCCCCTCTTGACCTATTTTATTTTCTCGGGGCCCAATTAGTTCAGACCCCCCCCGGCCGCCTCCAACGTCGGGCACTTTTCCTGGATGCATCGTTCGGGTCGCACGTACCAGCAAGTGGTCTGAATCACGCGATCTACTGGCAAGGGCCGCGGTGGGGCCGTTGTTCAGGACATGTGCTTCGGGCGCCGAAAACGCTCGACACGCCTTGTTCAGTCAGGCCCGAGAGTGCTGGTTCCAAGGTCCAGGGAGGAGGCCCTCGAGCGTGGGAGGAGCCTCAATGGCGCGGTACCTCTGTCTTCCGCGAAACTTTCAGTTCACTGAACGTAGTATCTGTTTGAGGCGCGCGTGTGTGTGATGTAGATGATGCGCGAAGCCACGGTGAATGGGGGTTCGAGTGCGGGCTGTTGCTATCTATACATGTGGGCCTTTGGTATCCGCAAGACAACCATTGTACCATCTGTCTTGTCGGACCTGCGCCAGGTTGGGAAGGGGAGACGACCTAGACCCAGTTTTGATCGAGAAGACCAGTGGCGTTTCACTGGCCGCTGTCTGGGAGTTTGGCGACTGTGAGTGCGCCCTGTTGTAATCGTCTTGGGTGCGGAAGGGAGAGGAGGATGACGATGAGGAGGATGAGGCGGAGCAAGGAGAGGCCTCTCGGGGACCGCCTGTTGAGGCCTTGTGGGGCCTCCTTCGACTTCTTGGGCCCTCCTGGGGGTGTCTCGGGGGCCCCTTTGGGGGCATGCTGAGGGTCTTCTTCGCGGCAGTGGTTCGGGGACAGGCTCCTGTGGCCCTGTCTATTTCCCCTCTTCGGCCCCTCGTCGGGTCCTCTTAGGGCCCTCTCGGGGGCCTCTTGGGGGGCCTCCTGGGTCGTCGCGGGGCCCTCTGGGGTCGTCCTTGGGCCATCTTGGTGGCCTTGTGGGCCGTCTTGGGGCGATCCCGGGGGCCTCCTGGGCTTTCTTGGAGTGCAGAGAGCGCCGAAAGGCGAGAGCGCCAAAATCTATGTTTTGGCCTTGGTGGTGAACTTGGAGCTCTCCCGGGGTATCTTGGAGGCTTCTTAGGTCGTCTGGAAGCCATCGTGGGCCGTCTGGGGGCGCTCTTGGGCCATATCGGGCCCTCTCTCAGCGGGCGAAGAACGGTATAATATAAACTTTTCCGCCGTCGGGGGCGCCTGTCCCAGGGCGGCTGGACAGTTTATACCCCTACGTTGCCACCGTAAGGGATAAACTTTCCAGCCGCCCTGGGACAGGCGCCCCCGACAGCGAAAAAGTTTGTTTTCTACTGTTCTTCGCCCGTTAAGTCTTTGATTGATTTGGAGCTCTCTCGGCGGCTCTCTTGGGCCGTCTTATGGCCCTCTGCGGTCGTCTTTGGGCCCATCTGGGGCTTCTTTCCGCTTCGGGTGGGGGGTTCTGCGAGGGACTGCTGGCAGAGTGGCGAGCAGAGAGGCGGGAGGCCTCTTGGATGCCTCTTGGAGTCTCTTCGAGTGTCTCTTGGGAGCTTCTTGGGGTCCTCTTGGGGCGTCTTAGGATGCCTCTTGGCGGTCTTGGGGTGCCTCTTGGAGCGTCTTAGGTGCCTCGGGGGACCCCCTTAAGGGCCTCTTGGGGTTCTCTTGGGGGCCTCTTGGGGGCCTTGGGGGCTTCTTGGGGCCACCTGGGGCCCTCTTGGGGCACTCTTGGGGCACTCTTGGGAGCCTTGGGGGCCATCCTGGAGGAGCTCGATCGAGGAAGGGGGGAATATTTCAGTAGCCTTGACCCCCCAGGAGGCCGAACTTTACCCCAACGTGTTGAAAATCAAGAATTGTTGCCTTTTCGCCGGGCCTTCTTGGACGCTCCCATGGGTCGCGGGGCGCCCCGTCGAGATCGGGGGGGGGGTCGCCCTCCACTCGCTCACTCCCACCCGCCCGCCCAACACATAAGTAACGCCTGAGCTTCAGCATTCCCAACGGTCGTCGATTGATGGGCAGCCAATGGGGATCAAAACAGACCCCAAGTGCGCGACGCTGGGGCGAGGTGCGCCATGTGTACCAGGCGTGCCAGGCGCGCCAGTGCTCGAGGCGCCCCCGGGGCCCAAGCGTGCCAGGCAGGCCTGGCGCGCCAGACGCGCCACGTGCTCCACGTGCGCCATGTGTGCCGCATGCTCCAGCCGCGCCAAGTGCGCCACGTTCGGGGCACGCGTAGAGTGTGCCAGGTGCGCCCGCGCACGTGATGGCACACATTGGGAAACATGTCGCCCCCAAACATGTGTTCGAAAACCAAAGCGCAATCGCGGTGGGGAGGCCATTATGGTGTCTGGTGGGCCTGCGCAGAGAATGCAACATGCCAGCTCCCCCCCGTCCCGGCCAAACAGCAATGGAAAGTTATCGCGGGGTGGCTGCGTACGATCCAGATTTAGCCGCGAAGTGCATTTGTGCAAAAAAGAAAGAGGGGTGGTGGCCTTGCGCACAGCAAGCGATGTGAGCCCCCCCGTTGCCCATGTCAAAAGACAATATGAAGTGCTCGCGGGGCCTACGAGCATGACCCACTATTTCGCCTCCTATTGCATTTTCATTTGTTTTTTGACAGGGGCGGGGGCGGTTGTTGTCATTGGTTCGGGTTGGCTGCCATTCGCCTGGGGGACAGTGATCAACCCTTCTCCGAATGGGAAGAAGGGGGGCTGGAAGAGGAAACGTCCTAAACTACCTGCGCCGTAAAGGGTTGATTGGATTTCTGAGGGGTCGTGGCATCGGGGGCGCGAGCTTAAGTATAATATACGATAGATCGTTGCCTCTGGGGCGCGATCTGGCGTATTCTGGGAGCGACTGTCGTCCCTGAGACTCGCCGCCCCATCGCCGCCAAGTCGCCGCCCGTCGTCTGGGCCTCCCTGTCGGTCTGGCGGCTATGTTGCCGCCGTCGCCGCCCCGTCGCCGCCTCGTCGCCTCCCGTCGTCTGAGCCCGCTTGCCAATCTGGCGTCTGTGTTGCCGCCGTCGCCGCCCCCTCATCGCTGCCTCGTCGCAACGCACAACGTAGATGGCGCAAAACCGATGGGAATTTCCCGCAAAAAGATTAGGAGCTCCTCCCCCCACCCCCCCGATAATCCCCGGTTCCAGGGATAGAACGATTTGCATATGACCCTGCCCCGTCGTCAAATTGAAGTATGTTTTCACATCACCCCAGCCCAAACCTTTTTCGCCTCCCCACCCCATCCTTCATCCCCGGCAAATAACAATTCGCGCGAGCATTCGTTAATCCCAAATCATCAACTCTCAATCATCTGGTATGGTGCAGCAAACACGCAAAGCGCACTCGCTCGCAACGTCGCGCGCATTCCGAAATCATCGATTTTAAGATCGAGGAGCACTTATAAAACATAATGGACATTCAACATGTCTAATCAAACCACTTTTTTGTGATGTGCGAATTCGTGCGACAACGTCTTTTGCACATTGTATCAAATGAGACGCGCGCGCATGTCGAATGCATTCGAACGCCCTTGCGCGCGTCTGGGGGGGGGCACGATCTTTTTTCAAATGATACCATGCGGACCACTCAGGGCCGTCGGCCGCGCGCGCATGTCGTGTGTGAATCTTCGAGGCGACGATATTCAACGACCAGCCACTCAGCCACCGCGGGCGAGGGGTCGACAAGGAGGAGCATCCCCCCCCACACATGAAAGGGAGGGGGGGGGGTCGGAAGGAGGTGCACCCCCCTCTCTCGTGCTGGGGTGAAAATAGAAAGGGGGGTGCACCTCCTGGCAGGCGGAGGAAGAGCCCCCACCCCCACACTCGGATTTTTTCCTTCTCCCATTCCGCGCGGGGAGAGGGGGATCCCCCTCCCTCCCCCTGGCGCTTTAGTCTCGCTATATTCCCCTCTCGCGCGCCAGAGGAAGAGCACCCTTCCCCCTCCCATCACTCGGATTTTTTTTTCCTCTTCCCATTCGGCGCGGGTAGAGGGAGAGCCCCCCCCACCAGCACTCCAGTCTCTCTCTCTCTCTCTCTCTCCCCCCTTTTCGCGCGCCCGAGGAGAGCCCCCCCCACCCCCCAGCACTCGGATTTTGTTCGTCTCCCCTCCCGCGCGGGGAGAGGGAAAGCACCTCCCCCCCTTCCTTTGCACTCCAGTTTCTATCTTCCCCTCTCGCGCGCCGGCGGAGAACCTCCCCCCCAAGTGCTCGGATTTTGTTCTCCTCCCCTCCCGCGCGGGGAAAGGGAGAGCCCCCCCCCGCTTCCTTGGCACTCCAGTTTCTCCCTTCCCCTCTCGCGCGCCGGAGGAGAGCCCACCTCCCAAGTGCTCGGATTTTGTTCTTCTCCCTTCCCGCGCGGGGAGAGGAAGAGCCCCCCCCCTTCCCTGGCACTCCAGTTTCTCTTTTACCTTATCGCGCGCAGGAGGAGGAACACCCCCCTCCCGCCCCATCACTTGGATTTTTTCTTGTTCCCTTTCCACGCGGGAAGAGAGAGAGCCCCAGAGCCCCTCCCCCGGCACTCCAGTCTCTCTCTTCCCATCTCGCGCGCCGGAGGAGGAGCCCCACCCCCAATTCCCAGGACTCGTCGGTTTTTTTCCTCTTCCCTTCCGGCGCGGCTGAAAAAGAGCCCCCCCCCCCCCCCTTGGCACTCCAGGTTCTCTGTACCTTATCGCGCGCCCGAGCGAAGACCCCACCCCCCCTTCTCCAGCACTCGGATTTTTGCGGGCCCCCCCGCGCCGGGAGAGGAGCAGCACCACCCCTTTTCCCTGGCACTCCAGTCTCTCTCTCTCTTCCCTTCTCGCGCGCCGCACGAGGAGCACTCCCCCCCGCCCCAGGACTCGGATTGTTTCTTCTTCCCCTCCCGCGCGGGTAGAGGGAGAGCCCCCCCCCCCCCTGGCACTCCAGTCTCTCTCTTCGCTTCTCGCGCGCCAGAGGGGGAGTGCCCCCCCTCCCCCTCCCCCTCCCCAGGGCTCGGATTCTTTCTCTTTCCTTTCCCGCGTGGGGAGAGGGAGAACATCCCCGCCCCCCCCCCCCCCCCCCAGCACTCGGGTCTCTCTCTTCTCCTCTGGCGCGCCAGAGGAGCCCCCCCCCCAGGACTCGGATTTTTTACTTTTCCCTTCCCGCGCGGCTGAAACAGAGCCCCCCCCCCTGGCACTCCAGTTTCTCTCTTCTCCTCTCGCGCGCCCGAGGGAAGCCCCCCCCCGCTGCCAGGGGGTGCACCTGCCCCCCCCCTCGATTCTCACCCCAGCACGGGAAAAGAAAGAGAGAAGGGGGAGGAGGGCTGCACCTCCCCTGCCAGGGGTTCCCCCCCCACCTCTGCAGTCTTAAGTCGGGCATGTCCCTCTACCGGAGGAATATTAACATGGAGTCAAAATATATTATGGGGGCGATGTTTCTAGTGTTTGTTTTTTTTGGGGGGAAATTTTGCGTATTTGTAGACTTTCTAATTTTTCCCTGAAGGTCCGCCCGAAGGGGGACATGCCCGACCTGACTGTAGTTTCGCCCCGGCGCGGATAGGGAAAAGGGGGGGTGCACCTCCTCTGGCCCCCCCTTTTTTTTGGTGGGGGGGTGCTCTCCCTGATCTGCCCCCCTGGCGTCATGGTCGTTGGGTATCGCTCTAACGAATCTCTCCCAAACCTTCGTCGCGGACACGTGGACACCGTCATCGCCATTGTCGTGATCAGCATCGGTGCCGTCATTGGCCGTGGCGTCGTCACTGTCATCATCGCCACCACCATCGCTCCTATCATCATCGTGTCTGCCTTTGTCGACGTCGCCATGCTACCGCGCCCGCCCGAGCCACCGACTCGCATAAGTGACCCCGCACGTTAGCCCATCCTGCGAGACGCGATGGGGAATCCCCAGCGGTCAGCGCTAATTTACGAGGGATCGTAGCCTCGGAGACGCAAATTCGTTGAGATTTTTACGCGATCGTGGTCTCGGGAGCGCGAGCGCATAGAGATTTACGGAGGACCGTACCCCCGGGAACGCAAATCTGGGATAATTTACGCGGGTTTGTGGCTCGCAAGCGCGATTCTGAAGTACTTTGTAAGAGATCGTGGCCTCTGCAATGCGAATGTTTTCTACTTCGCGGAAGTCGTGTCTCGGGGGCGCGAGCCTCGCGTAATGTACCAGGGATCGTGACCTCAGGAGCGCGCGTAACTTATAAGGGATCGTGGCCTCGGGGGCGCGCATCTGTTGAACTTACGAACCTCAGCGGGGTACAGCGGAGCCTCAGCCCCGCACCCTGGTGGCCCCTAGGGGGGCCGGCGGATGTCGGTTTCGGATGAGTAGTTCGGTCTGTGGACTGGACTTTCTCATAGCGCAGGACATTGCTTACATCATGCATTTGATGTTGGTTTAAGTATGTTCATGTAAAGGTAACCGTGTATACCCATAAGACCACCATTCGGGTGGTAAGGAGTTTTGGGGAGCATTGGTGCAGCTTTCGGTTAGTGACTGGCGCCGGATCGGACTTGCAATCACTCCATTACTCTAACGACGTCGCTATCAGTCTACCGATCTGACTTTTGACGGATATGCTCCACTATGTCTCGATCTCATGACCTCTTGATATCACTCACTTTATTTATCGATCCGACTATCGGCAGTGCTCACTATCTCTCTCTCTATATATACTGGCTTCCTTCTCATCTACCTGTCGTTCTCACTGCAAATTTATTGTTCCCACTATCTATCGGTCTCACTTTGTTTCCGTCATCAACCACGTGACGACCAACCAGTGGACAACCACAAACAACCAAAGGACAGCAACGGGACAACCACGGGACAACCACGGGACAACAACGCTCCTCCCCCTCCCCCTTTTCCTCTCCTCTTCGTTCTCCTCCCTTCAGCTGGCAGTTTCGAAGGACATCCTGGGCAGTGTGGAGGATGAGTGACCGATTGGGATGGCAGGAAAGCCAGACAGTCGCGATGGTGTGCGTTGCTCTGATCGTCGGGACGATCATGGCCAGTCAGTACGCGAACACCCTTCTGGTCTCCTGGTCGAGCGTATCCGCGAGGCATGGCCTATGCACCGCCCGGCCCCCGCCGGCTAACGAGGGCTCGTCCCTGACCGAGCTTACCCTGCCGTCGGCTTCCAGTGTAAGGGGACCGCTTGACTCCAATAGTGTACACCGCGACCAAGTTAAGACAGTCAAGTCGGACTATGAAAGCCCTCGGATGCAAGTTCTTTCAGGATCGGGTCCGACGTTTCGTTCCTTGCGGGACCCTTCTGAGTCAAACTGTCTACTGATCATGTGCATGCAAAGGCATGGAAGCATTGCTCCAACATGTGCTAGAAGGTACAGTAGAAGAAACAGCAGGCCCCAGCCATCCCTACCTCAGCCTGGGTTTCCAGGTTTGGGGATACCGTCTGGGTTTGGGTTGCAGGTGTGGTGATTCCATACCCCGTCGAAGTGTCGTGGGAGATCTGTCTAACTGACCGGGCGCGTGCCGCTGAGATAGGCCTCTGGCACCCTTGGGCTCCACGCTTGTCGATGAAGAAGGGCGTCAGACATCTTTGCAAAGTGTGCGGCTGGCTCATACTGGTTGCTACAGCCGATCCGTCCGCCAGTTGTAGCTCCCGTCGTTCGTTGCGAAGCGGATGCGGCAACATAGTGTTGAGGAGTGGAGTTGGCCCAGCGACTCTGGATGCTCCTCCCAGGGGTCGGCGGATTCTGGGGTGAGATGGAGGAATGGGGCAAGAGCTTGGCCAAAGGCGATGGCATGAGTCACCTGGATGAGGCGAGTCTCTTCCTTCATGTGCATGTATTGAACTGCATCGTTTTGCTTAACTCTGTACCCGTTACGTCTCCTGAGAGATTTAGGGAGCTCTTGACTTGGATCTCAAGTATGGTGAGCGCTGCCTTTCTTCATACCTTTTCTTCTTGCAATCTCTTCTGGTACCCTCTAACCTCCGTCAAACGGTCAGTGTGCTGCCACACAATCGGGAATCCTACCCACTCCTCCGTCCACTCAGTGTCTTGTCTATGTTGATCCACCGCAGCACTCGCATGGAATGCGCGTCATTAGTGGCTGTCCGGAAGCACAACATGGTTTGGTGCAGTGCGCACCGCCTCATCTCAGGCTTTTGTTGTGGAGGCTCACCCAATCAGTCGGGGTGAGATAGCTCCGCGTTCTGCCGCGGTGCGCCAAGACGGTGCTTGCAATACTTGCGTCTTTGGTCAGCGTGCTGAAGATCGCGCTCTCTGTGGGTGGGAATTGACCAGGGCCTGGGCGGGGTGTCTCCGGGAGGCAATTGGCCAGGTTATATGAATGATCGGTCAGATCAGAAGGGGATGCACGCACAGCACTTTAATACATCTGCATTGGCAGCGCTGTCTCTGCTTCGCGCTCTCTTTGCACTTGGCTCGTGATGCGAACGGCACGCGAACGAACTACAGGGCCAACCACGTATCACGTGGATGTTTGCGAGGGAAAGAAGGTTGGCTGGGGCGGTGTCAGCGCGGCGGGAAGGCTCGAACATTGTCGACGACCGCCCGCGTGAGGGGTTCGTCGCCTGGATAGCGACGCTCGTCAGACGGGGGAGGTCAAGGTGGGGGGTGCCGATCTCACACGTTCCGTGGCCCCCTACTGGGTCGGTGGATTTGACCAGTTGCGGCCACGCTGGCAGCACCTTGGCTCTCGACCCTCATCCGCAGGGCCATCCTTCATTGCGTGCTGGTGATCGGAGTCTGGTGTCGTGTCTCCCTTCTCCTTTCACCGATCCGCCTTTTTCAGTCGACGTGTTTATGCACGCATGCTTATCTTGCGAGTTTCAAGTGCAGCTGCTGCACTTCCTGTTCTTCGCCTTGATCCACCTGCTCGCTAGCGCCTACCAGGACAGAGACTGAATGCTTAATGAAGCAGCGGCGGCTTAGCACATGCGACTGGCAGTGCACACGGAGGTGGTCAGATGCTCAGAGGCCAGCTGCAGCTTGTGTCAGATTTGCCAGCATCGCGGTTGTCAAACGTGCTTCTTCATTCATTTTCATCTCCACCATCTTGCCTTGACCCTCCATGTTCTCCGCGTGTAACACATCTGTATTTTCCATTCGGGTTGCAACTTTCAACGAGAAGGTGGAGGAGGAGGATGAGGACCCTGGGGTTTTGAGGCACGAGTTGCACCAGATGAGGTAGAACTCTTGCACTTTGGACTCGTGCCCTTGAGTGTCCTGGGTGAGCCCTGGACTGGGCGAGCTGGGCTCCTTCAAAGCAGTGGTTCGTTAGATTTTTGCACTGGGTGGGTGCTGCGTCCGCGCCATCTCCGGTCATGCGATGGTCGGCGGCGGGCCCGGGAGGGAAGTGAGAAGGGGCGGGCCTTTTCAGAAGGCTCGGAGGTCCCCCGGCCTTCTGGGAGGTTTTCTAGGCCTTCCCCGAAGACGCAGGAAACTTCTCAAAAGGCGCGATGGCTTCTGAAAAGGCCTTCTCCCTCTCACTTTCCCCCCTCGCTCGCCGCCGAGACTTAAGCTCGCAGCAGATGTTGGATGACCGCGCCAGATGGGCTGGAGAAGTGCACCCCTCAGAGGAGTACGTCGTCACCATGTTCAGCATCCACGTGCGCGCCAAGGCTCAGGGGGAGAACAAACACGCAGACACGATTAATCGTCGACTCCCAGGAAAATATGCGAAAATATGGGAAGTGGGGGGGAAGACAGAACCCAAGAAAATATAGGAAAATATTGGGGATCTGGTGATTTGTGTCTATTTACTTGTGTGTCCCAGGGCCCCTTCAAATGCGAGGACCCCTGGGGCGCCGAAGGCGTGGCCGGCTGAGCTTTGGGCGAGTGCGGGAGCTGCGCCCGTCTTACTTCTAGAAGAGGCTGGCCCGAGGCTGCAAGCTGCAGTGCTGCGTGCCTGCGGTCTGTTGGCTGACTTTCGAGGTTCGGGCCAGCTTCAGTGCACTTCGAGATGCCAGCGGCTCCCCAACGGCAAGAGGCACTGGCCTGCAACCGCGGCCGTGAGCTCCACCGAGAGTCGGCTGCGATTCGGGATGTGCCCTGCAGCCCTGGAAAGCTCGGATCCGGGCTGGACTTCGGCTGGAGCGCCTCGGCGTTGCCTCGGCGTTGCAGCACCTGGACAACTGGAGGCCTCACTCGGGCGTTCCGCCTGAAGCGCAGGCGGGGGCGCTCCTGCCAGGAGGCCGGGCACACATGACGTGGCCAGCCTGGGCGAGAGTGGCCGCACGTCTGCTCAGCGCCAGGCACACGCCGAGTCGCCATGAGTGTGCCCGTCCCGCCGCCTCCAGAGGTTCCGCGCATGAGCCCATCCATGTGCCTCCAGTTTCCAGTGTGCCATCCCTTCCTCACTTCGGCACATGCCTCAAACGGGTCGCGTCCCACGGGGAGATTCCCCTGGCCCTCCCCCGCTTCCCCCCGCGCTGCACGCAGTTGCACAGGTCTGGGCCCGCCGCTGGTCAAAGAGAACAGTCTTCGCGGATCGACGCCCCACCAGCCGTCCCTACGAACTCTGCGAGATCGGGTTTCCTTCCCCGCAGGATGCCCTCTTGCCCCCAGATCTCTCTGCGGAGTGCCAGCCGGCAGAGGCTCCAGGCAAGAGCTCGCTGGCGTATCCTAAGCTCTTCGTGCTGCACTGCACACGCTGTGTTCGGTAGCAAATCATAGCAGCCTGGTATACCCTCTTAGATTCCGTCTTTGGCGTCGATTCGCGTCGATTAGCGTCTGGGAGTCGATGAGGTAGCGCCGATTTAGCGTCGACTTAGCGTCGATTAGCGCCGACTTAGCGTCGATTTCGATTAGCGTCGATTAGCGTCGATTAGCGTCGATTCGCAAGAGCCGACAAGGTGGTATGGGAGGCTCCCATGAGTTGCCACCGAAGTTGTGCCCCCTGAGCCATTCCCCCCTGTAGCAGCCCCTGGTGTTCCTTTGTTTTCTTGTGAGCTGTGCGCGGCAGGGCAGACCGCGGCACCCTCGCGCGGATCGGCGCGGGGCGACCGCGCGAGATTCGCATCCTTGCTCCGTGCACGAAGGTGACTCGCCGGTACGCCAGCCAGTGGATGCAGGATTTCGTCTACTACCGCCTCGAGCTCTACCGGCTGATGCAGGCGAGGTCCGCTTCGTTGATTTTGGGCCAGGGTGAGCCCATGATGAGTGCCAACTTTTGTTCTGGCGTGCGTTGCCTCAGAGCTGGCGGCGCACGCACGTCCAGAGGCAGCGTGCACGGTGCAGTGAACCCGGTCTCATTGTTTCCCTCACTGCAGCCTGTTCGGTTCCAGAGCTGCTCGGGACCTGCCGTGAAGTACGTGCTCGCGCCGGCTAATACGCGCACTAAGCAGAGATTCGTATGCACAGCTATCTACATCCTACATACTACGGTCGAGGGAAACAATTAGTAAACACTCCCCCGCCCCCCAAAACTCAAAGTTGGCACGCGCGGGGAAGACTGCGGTCGAAATGCAACTCATCCAACCCACCGCCAACATTGATCATTGGGGGGCATTGACGCATGAATGTGGCATGAGTGTGCGCTAATTTCTTCCGAGGCCCGTAGTGCGACCCCTGGGAATAAAAAACAATTACGGAGCCGCGTGAGGCGAAGCACGGCAACGCGCGCACCGAGGCGCGCTCTGCGGAGGCCTCTTGAGGGGGCTGCTGGGCCCCCTTTTTTTGTTTGGAGTCTGGAGGCTTCTTGGAAGCCTCTCGGGGCCTCTCGGGCGCTTTTGAGGGGCCGTGGGCTCCTGGGGGCAAGTTGGAGGTCTCGGGGGCAATCTTTGTGGGCAAGGAAGGCTCCCAAGGTCCCTTTGCTCTCCCCTCTTGGCCCCCCTGTCGGGCCTTTTGGGGGGGCTTCTCGGCCGTGCAGAGACTCTTGGGCTGTCTTGGGGCCCTCTTAGGAGCCTCTTGGGCCGTCATAGCTCAATGATTCTGGCCTCTTCGGGCCCCCTTGGGAGCTCTCTTGGGCACCTCCCGGGGGTCTCCTGGGCTGTCTTGGGGGCATCTTGGACCGTTTTGGGGCCCTCTTGGTCAGATTTGGGGCCCTCTTGGATAGTCTTCGAGCTCTCTTGGGACCCCCTGGGGCAGTTTTGGGGCTCTCCTGCGGCCAGGGGGCAGGGGGTCCGTGGCCCCCTTGTTTTTTTGGGGGGGTTTTCTTGGGGGCCTCTTCGGCCGTCTTGGGCCGATCTTGGGGGTCTCGTGGGCCGTCCTGGGGGCCCCGAATGGGGGAGAACGCGATCATCTTCGGAAACTCGAAAGAGCGTGTTCTACCGCTGCTGGCGGAAAACCAGGGGGGGTCACTACTGGTTCGAACCCCTCCCCCCCCCCCCTCCGGAAAACCGGGGGGGGTCACTACCGGTTCGAACCCCTCCCCCCCCCCCCAGTTCATCATGAAAAGGGGGGGGGTCACTACCGGTTCGAACCCCCCCCCCCTCGAAAACCGAGTGGGGGTGCGGACAGTGGTGGGGACGGTGTTGGTGGGGACAGTGGTGAGGGGACAGCGGGACAGTGGTGCGGGACAGTGGTGGGGACAGTGGGACAGTGGTGGGGACGGTAGTGGTGGGGACAGTGGTGGGGACAATGGTGGGAACAGGGGGGACAGTGGACAGTGGTGGGACGGTGGTGGTGGGGACAGTGGTGTGGGGACAGTGGGAATGAGGTGGAAACAGTGGGACAGTGGAGGGTACAATGGTGGTGGGGACAGTGGTGAAGGCGGTGGCGAGGACGGCGGTGGGACAATGGGACAGAGGTACAGTGGGGACAGTGGTGGGGACAGTGGGGACAGTGGTGGGAACAGTGGGACAGCTCAGTGGGACAGCGGAGGAGTCAGTGGGACAGTGGGGACAGTGGGGATAGTCGGGCAGTGGTTGGGTCCGTGGAGACAGTGGGGAGAGTGGAACCGTGGTGGGAACAGTGGTGGGAACAGTGGGGACAGTGCGACAGTGGTGGGGGCACTGGTGGGGACAGTAGGGACGGTGGTGGAACCAGTGGGGACAGTGGTGGTGAGGACAGTGGTGCTGGGAACAACAGTGGGGGATGTGATGCGGACGGTGGTAGGGACCGGGAGTCGTTTGCTGGCGGTGCGGGGGGGGTCGAACCAGTAGTGACCCCCCTCCGGTTTTCGAGGGGGGGGGGGTTCGAACTGGTAGTGACCCCCCCCGGTTTTCCGGATCCGGAGGGGGGGGGGGGGAGGGGTTCGAACCGGTAGTGACCCCCCGGTTTTCGAGGGGGAGGGGGGGGGGGAGGGGTTAGGGGAGGGGGGGGGTTTTGCCGGGGGAGGGGGGGGGGGTGTCCAGCAGGGGGGGGGGATTTTCGGAGGGGGGGGGCGACCCCCGGGTTCCGGAGGAAAAGGTTGGCAATTTTCCATAGTAAAGCGGCGGTGGATCACGCTCTCTCGGAAACTGGAACATATACATTGCCAGTGGCGGGCTGCTGTTCAATCCCAGGACTTCTTGAGGGTCGGGGGCGATGTCGCCCCGTTTTCCAGGGGAAACAGCGAAAGCTGTATACAGCAGGGTCCCGATTACACCAGGATCCGCTTTCCTCTGCACATTTGAGTACATGGCCAGCAACAAACGTCGGTGTATAGAGTTCGGTTCCCTACATCTTGAAATCTTTTGAAGCACTTCTGATGGCACTCAATGGTTTTGGCTTCTTGAGATATCTTCGGGGTCCTCTCGGGACCATCTTGGGGTGTCCTTGTGGCGTCTTGGGGGCAGCTTGGACCGCCTTGAGGGCATCTTGGGCCGATTTGGGGCCTTCTTGGGCAGATTCGGAGCTCTTTCGGACCGTGTTTGAGCTCTCTTGAGGCCCTCTGGGGTCGTTTTGGGGCTCTCTGACGGCTGCGGGGGCTGGGGTCCACGCCAACCCGCAAAAGTGCATCGCCGAGTTGTTGAATGGATACAGACGGTTGTCATAAAGTTCCTCGGAGGGCTCTCGAATCAGTTGTTCGTTCGCAACATGTAAAGAACGCATGCTGGCGGTGAGCGAGAGCAAATGATAACGAATCCGGTTATCCGTGTCCTCTACCCTCTACCCTCGACGCTGATCTAGCATCTTCTCCACCCTATACTCACTACTCTCGACCCTCTCCCTCAACACGTGATGTCTGTCCTCCATCCTCTACTTTCTCTACTTTCCACTCTCTGTCCTCCACCCTCTACTCTCTGCTGTCGTCTCCCGACACTTTGCTGTATAGTATCTGTTTTCTGATCTCTGCATTCTGCGCTCTTATGCGTGCTCTCCGCCTTCCGATCTCTGCTACGGTGGCGGCGTTCGTTCAGCAATGTGCCCAGGAGGCTGCACACCCTGGAGGATTCCTTATCTGATAAGGGCGGCGGTGATACCCATGGCCGATCTGCGATTGTCGTTCCAGCGGCTTCCAAACCCTGGATTCTTTATGCAAGGGCTCCTGATCCAATGCCCCTGCCGCAACTGCTCTCCACTCTTTGCTCTACCCAGGCTTTCTACCCTCTCTGCATTCAATAACCCAGACACCCGACGTCGTGACTTTTTTCACGATGTCGACCCCTTTGGGGAGGCGCTGTCTCTGGTCCTCATTTCGTCGGAAGAAACACGGGGACCATGACCAAGATGTCGCGGGATCGTGACGATGCCGATCTTGGTCATGATCCATGTGGGCCGTCGCCGATTCGCGAGAGTGATCCACACATTGACGCTGATCAAGATCGACGGTGACCAAGATCGACACTACGTTTCCGCGTTCAGCCTTGGTGTTGGTCCCCGTTTCCCCCCTCCATGATTATTAAACACCTCCTCCCACTCCCGACTGGCGGCAAACCCGAAGCGCCTCCGTAGCAATCCGACCTGGGCCATGCTGGCTCTCGAGCAGGAGTGTTGCATCCCGCCTGGCTCCGGGCGAGGGCGAGGCGCTGGTCGGGGAGGCACGCCGAGCTCTCGCTGCGGGCATGGTCGAGAGAGCCAGTCGCAACCGCTGGAGCCGGCGGGCCCGTGGTGCTCCGCGGGAGAGCCAGGCCACCGCAGGCACAGCGCGAGAACCAGTCACCGACCTCCGTCTCGCCGAGTGCCAGGTGTCGGCAGTATGGCAGGCACGGAAGGTCGCCGAAGAACGGCATGCGGCTGCTTTACCCGTGCTGGCTGCTCGCGTACAGGCGCTGGGCTTCAGGTCGGAGCACGTGGATTCCATGCTGGCCTGGATCCGGGAGAGTGCGCCGATAATAATCCATCTTGATTTGGACAAATCTTTGGAATTTCTGGAGAAGGATACCCATCATCGTAATCAGTTTGAAACAGGCACGTCGGGTGGTCTGCTGAACGCAAGGACACGAGCTCAATGGGAGCACGAACTGTTCGGTGGGGTGTACGACGAGTGCCACCCATCCTGTAGGGTGAAATATGGCGTGATGAACGTGTTTAACGACCCGCGGGGCTATTACCGTCTGCGCAATTTCGGCGATTGCTACCTGATGTTGCGTGGGGTGAGGTCTCGTGTCACGCTGTCTGCTGAAGACTCATGAGAGTGTGCAGGAGGGAAAAGGTTGGAGTCGCGCGATGTACCAGCTGCCCTCCGGTTAGCGGTCCCAGAGTTTTACGCCCATGTGGCGCTGGAGTACAGCGATGACGAACTTACAGCAGCGCTCCGGGCAGCGAACACTCGAGATGTACACTGTGGTGATACGGGGAAATACATGCGGCCACGGAAGTACAAGGAGGTTCAGATCCACGGGGATTTGGCTTTAGATGTACATGTGGAGCGGCTCGTTGCGAGCGAACGCCATTGGCCTTTGCAGTCCCGCTTAGAGAAGTTGTGCTGTTACCGTGGGTGGTCGTTGGGGTGGATGGATACCGAACGTGCTCATTTGGAAGCAGTGGCGAAGCCAGCTGCAGTGCGAGGGAACATCTGCCGCTGGCGAGTGTCTGAACCTCTCTGAGTGGTAAACTCTTCTCGGGCTCGAGCGTCGCCCTTTCCCCAACTGTCCGAGGAACCCAATACGAAGGGCAAGCCGTAGTTTGAGCCGGCTCCACCTATCGGCGGCGAGCGAGGGGGGGAAGTGAGAAGGACGAGGCTTTCTCAGAAGGCTCTGAAGTTCCCGAGCCTTCTGAGAAGTTTTCGAAGCCTTCCCGAAGACACCAA